GTCCCTTAGTTATATGCCCTCTGTTGGGCCCCACCGTGTTTCCTGTTCCTGTGCAAGAAATGCATCCCATTGGCTGTCAGACTCCCAGGGGCGGGGTCTTAGCTGGACCACATGGCTTCGCCTGAGTGCTGGATGATGCAATCTTCCCAGGCTAGGTGGTGAGGTGGGTAGAGGCCTTTGTTATGTAGAATACGCTGGCCTAGGCCTTAATGGCCCGCCCATTAACAAAGGTGGTTGTGAGCTTCTGCTTCTAAGGTGAGTTTCTGCTTCTGGGTTTCTACTTCTCTTTTCAGGGGAGATTTTCTGTCTTTTTAATACATCCTAAAACATTTCATTTTCCTAGGAGAGGGGTGGGTTTTAACTTCCAACAAGACCTTAAGCTTTGCTGGCTGAGGAACTCTGGGACTTGAAGTCCACAAGTCTTAAAGTTGCCAAGGTTGGAGACCCCTGACCTAGTTTAACCTTTTGTGCCACTGATGTCCCTCCAGTTTCTGTCTGAAGGCCTCTCCTGCACAGGGCAATTCCACTTAGGACGCCAGAGCTGCTTCTGCTGGCTAGCAGCTCGTACAGTCAAGCCATCCCTCCTCACGCCCAGCCCGGAACGCCTTCCTCATACTGTAGCTTATTGATTGATTGGTCTTGTGGCCTTATCCATAAGATAAAATAAAACACAGGACACAGTCTAATTTTGAAACAAGAAAGGCAGAATTAAAGTGACAAAACACAAGTGTGTTAATACAGAGCATAATCTCCCTTTGCAGGGTATCCCAGTGTGTTCAATGCCATGGGTTCGTAGGATGGCTGCCTTAGTTATAAGCAGTTCTGCGTCCATTATGCACCTCTGAGCCCAGGAGGAATGATGACAAAATGATCCCACTGATCCCACTGAGCTGCTCTTTCCAAAAGGGAAGCGAAGTATTTAAGCCTTATGGAGGCATACAATTGACAATCAAACGAAATACGAGAAATATTTTCAGTGGCTGCTGGATATACAGGTTCTCTCAAAATATGACATAGCTCAAATCTTGCTCTTGAATAGGTCCCTCTTAAAGACTCTGTCAGATTCAATGGCAAGTATTATTCTGAATAAAAAAGATGCTTTTATTCTTTGACCGACCAATCTTTTCAGCCAAGAATTCCATGTTAGCTTGATATTGAAGGCTCTTGGTTTAAAAATGTCCCTTGCCTATGAGGCCAATATGAGAGAGCAGACGCTGGATAGAAAACCCTCTTGTGAAATAATTTTGGACAGTTGGTTGATCCAGGAGTTGGGCTGGGCCACACTCACCTGTTCAGCTCAGCTATTTGGGGAAGGAGGCTCTCAGGGCTCCTTGAATGGATCCTCAGCCTCTCAACTACGTGGCAATTTTAGTTATTAGACCGCTATGTAAGGAATTAATCCTTTTTTTCCTGCTCTGATCGCAAAGGCAGATGTGTTCTTATCCATTTCCAGGACACATTTTAAAAATGGCCTGTACTTGTTCAAGTGGGGCAGCTTTATTCAGCCCCCCCCCCCCCCCCATTTATGCTCATAGGGCAACATTGGGACTATTTCTGCCCTGAATACTTTCAGTATAGGGTTTGTTAGTGGTTTGGGGACAAACCCCCAAGCAGAGTGCACAGCAGCAGTCAAGCCAGGCAGCCAAATGAGAGAGAGGCTGGGCCCAAGAGTATACACACACTGGAGACAAAAACACTGTTTGTAGTTTTTAAATAGTTATTTAATTCACACAGAAATTAAGAAGTGTCATTCAGTCCATATGTCAATATCCAATATATCCATCCAGTTACCTAGTCCATTAACTGGTAAATACAATGTCTTTATCTGCTTGTAAATCTTCTCCTCCCGATACCTTTCTCTCCAAGACAACGCTGAGTATGCACAGCTCACCAAGTAAACAGTCCTTTTGTTCAGTAGAAAACGGTATCTTGCACAGTAGCCAACAATCAGACGTCTCATACAGGAGTAAAACAGCAGGCAGCAGAGATCAGAGAGACCAGTAGACCAGACCAGAGACAAGACCAGGAACAGTAACCAGGAAGTGTTACGTCTCTCTCACTGCCTTATTACTGCTGCTTGCAACCGCACCCTTAATTATCAAATTACATTGCAGTTTTTGTGCTTAAAGCTACAAACACTTAAACCTAGGTTTATATATTTATTCACCCAAACCAGTTGGTGTATCCATATACCCAACAGGGTTCAAGGTACCTGGGGAGTCGTAGTTGTCTGATCTTTTAATACTGATCCCTTGCCAAGCTTCTTTTAAAATGTTCGGGTAAAAACCACTCCTAACTAGCTAAAAAATTCATTTGTTCAATAGGCTCCCCATTTATCTGCCAGTTATATTTCACACCCCCCCCCTTTTTTTTTTTTTGCTAAATACCATCCATTTAATTTTGTTTCTGTTGATGTTTAAAGAATTAAGAGCACAGTATTTAGTATTTAGCTTCTGCCACCGTCTTCCCGAGCCTATTTGGAAATGGGCCATTAGAACGATGCTACTGGCATATAAAAGGGTATTAATAAATTTATCATGGATCTTTGGCATACGAGTGTCTGCAGCATACAGGAATCCTGGTAAATAATCGATATAGAAATTAAAAAGCATTGAGGCTTGGATACAGCCCTGCCTAACCCTGTGATGGGTGGGTGCAGCCTTCCCTAGGGAGCCATTTACGCCTGGCAGACTTTCTTGACCAAAAATTAAGAGTCCAGGTACCATATTTAAATTGGCCGATTTCATCCACAGAACGTTTCCATTTATAGAATCACAAGCAGCACTGAGATCTAAAAATGTGGTAATGGAAAGAAGTCTCTTCGTGGAGAAACACGCTGGATTCAGAGCAGAGCGCTGTTCCACAATAGGAAACTGTTTCATTTTATACTACCTCACAACAAAACAATTAACAAATGGCAAGAACTGGGTTCCTTGTGCATTTATGACATAACGGAGCAACAGAGGGTAATTTCTCTCCTTCTGTGCCTCTCAGATAACAATAGCAATAGCACTTAGACTTATATACCCACTTTATAGGGCTTTATGGCTCTCTCTAAGCGGTTTACAGAGTCAGCCTCTTGCCCCCAACAATCAGGGTCTTCATTTTACCCCGCTTGGAAGGATGGAAGGCGGAGTCAACCTGAAGCTTGGTGAGATTCGATCTGCCAAATTGCTGGCAGCCGGTATCACTGCCCTCTAACCACTGCGCCACCAAGGCTCCTTGAAGTCTGTCATTATAGGCCCACTCGACCGTCTCTTCTCCTCTCTGTCCCCCCTCAGCTTCCTCTCAGGCTGGAGAGATTTCCTGTAACTCTCCCGGTTGATCTTCTCTGCCCTCTTTCCACTCCCTCGGAAGCCTCCTCCTACTGTGGCAACCAGAACTGAGTCTGGGTGGGCCACCCTGGGGCCGGGCCCTCAGCTGTCTCCCCTCCTCCCTGCAGGGACAGGGCCATCATCAGCCGGGGCTCCGGTTCCTTCCAGTCCTGTGCAAACTGCAAAAGCATCTTGCTATCTCCGTGGGATCAAAGAGCAAGAACAGGAGTTACGGCCCAAACTGGGTGCCGCATGTGCCCCCACCCTCTTCACCAAGGTGGTCAAAACCTTAAGAGCTGCATTTGTGCATCTCGTTGGCCTGGCCGCTTAGGAGCCGAGGCCATTTGGGATTGAATTCAATAACCAAATTAAGTCTCCTCATCAAACCCAAGCGAGAGAATTTACGGCTTGGCTAGTGCAGGTTGCAAACTCCTCCAGCTGGCAGCTGATGCACCTCAACAGCAGCAGCTCACGAGAAGCTAAAAGCACCCAGGCCTTCCAGCCACCAAATGGGAAACTGAGTCTGGCTGCCCAAGACTAAGAGGCAGCGAGGGCTCCCTCGGCTCTTGGGCAACCAAGGAGCAGCGCCCAGGCCTCAGGCTGGCACATCTGGCCAGCGGTCAGAGAGCCTGCCTGGTCCTGGTGAGAGGGAGAAAAAGCAGCTGTCCTGAGGGGGCCTGTTGTACAGGGACCCCACCCAAGTCCCCTCAACTGTGGGTGTCCCAGAAAAAGGCCACCAGGACCACAACTCCCCCCCGTCTTTCTAGGACCTTCTTAGGCAGCTGAGGGAAGGAGGCACCCAGGTGAAGCTGGGCTCGAGTGCCCCAGCTCTCCAGGCGGACCCTGAAGGGGCTGCCCCCTCAGCTGGCTGGCCTAAGCTGCCCTCACCAGCCCCTCCATGCCCGGGCTGGCTTAAAAGGCCCACAAGACCCCAAAGGGAAGGCCGGCCTGGTCCTCAGTTCAGATCTTCCGACCCTTCTGAGGAGGTGGCGGCGTTCACTCTTGCGAAAGGTAGCCGGTTGGAGGACATGCCGAAGAAAAGGCAGCTCTACACAAAGCCTCAGCACAAATTGACTTTTATTGACAGCCTGTGAACGATGACCATGTGTGTGTGGCCTATGCACAGAAAATGCCCCCCCTCCGCCTGGCTGCTCTCCCCAGTGCACCAAATGCCAACCGCAGCAGATCGATGGGCAGCCCTCGGAGGGAGGGAGGGCTGTGGGAGGCAGCCATTCTCCAAGGCCCTCAGCCTTTCACAAGGGGCTCCCTGTGGGTGTTTGGCGGCACAAGGGAGGGAAGGAGGTAGCACACAGCGGCCACTGCAAGCTGGCCTCCTCCCTCAAGGCCAGCTGGAGCCAGGCACACAAGGAAGAAGGTATAAAATGGTGGTGGCAGAGAAATGCAGCACAGCCGGAGCATGTCTGGGTGGGGAAAGCCGCAGCCCAGGCGCTGACTCTGAAATTCTTTGGGCAGCTGCGGCCTCGCTGACCTGCTCCCACCAGGGTCTCGCCTTTGGCAGGAAGCCCGGGGGGAGGGTCTCCCCCATGTAGGATCCTTCCATCGGCCACTGCCCAGGGGCCTTCCCCCCCTCCCCCAGAGAGAGGTGGTCAGAGTTTCATTGGTTCAAGTGGATTTGGCGGCCATTCAAGTCGGTGGCTACCAGGTCTAGGAAAAGGGGCGTTTTTCTCTCAGCACCCCGTAACCCAAAGACCCCCCTCCTCATGGAGAGCTACATCCAGCACCTCCCAAGGGCTCCAGGCAGACCTAAGAAGCCAGCAGTGGGCCCGGCCTGCGTGCATGTCAAGGAGCGACTGGGGGAGGCTGGAAGGGGCGGCCTAGAGCTGCCTGGTCAGCCAACCAGACCTTGGTGGGAGCCTCTGTTTGGCCTGAGCTGCGTCTCCAGGGGCCTCAAGCAGAAGTAAATATCAGTAGGAACAGAAATACGATTACAGTAGAAAGAATTCTCCACCTTTAGCTTTGTAACCAGGGAGGCTCTGGAGAAAAGAATTTACAAAAATAGATCAAGGTTTTCAGGATGTCCCTCCTGCGCCTCTGGCCCACTGGCCACTAAGGATGCCCACTCTTGGCCAAGACCAGCTGCCGCAAATGGCACAAGGGGGCCTCCCTGCCTCCGAGGCCCAGCCGGCAGATCCAAACACGCCTCCGGAACACATGCAGAAGAAGATCCACACAGTGACGGCTGCCCTTGGGTCATCCCCTTGGATGGAGGGTCTCGGGGCAAGACCCACAGGATCCCTCTACAACAGCAACTCAGGAGGAAGCTACGCCTTGCCGGCCACGTCTCTTCTCCTCGCTTGACCAGGCCGACAATCCCTCCAGCCAGAGCGGCCCAGGCCCAGGCCCCGGCCCCGGCCCCGGCCTGCAGCCCCACAGGTGGGCCCCTAAGCCTCCCCTGCCACGGGTCAGAGTCTGGGCCCCCCCAGGCGGACGTCCGTGTTCCCGGGAGGGTGCAGGAGGAGAGGGGCCTCTTCCCGCTCCTGCCCCACAGCAGCTCCCCGGCCTCAGACCCACTCCTGCAGGGACCGCTTGCAGTAGAGCAGCGCGTGGGGCCGGCCCTTCCGCTGCAGCTGCACGATGACGTAGGCCAGGCCCAGGACGCAGAGCAGCAGCAGCAGCAGCAGCCCCGCCATGACGATGCTCACCGTCAGCGGGTAATCGTTGATGTGCACCACAATGTCCACGTCCCCGGCCCCCTCCCCCCCGCCCTCCTTCTCCACGGCAGATTCCTCCTCCGCCTCCTCCTCTTCCCCCTCCTCCAGGCCTGGGTGCGGGGCTGCAGCGCCCTCCTCGGTTTCCTTGTCCTGCCGGGGCTGGAAGGGGGGCCTTCCCGTGTCGGGCCAGCGATGGCCGGGCTCCGGCTCCACAGCCACTTCCTCCTGGCAGCCCATGAAGTCTCGCAGGATGGACTTGGGGTAGCCGGGCTCCGTTTTCAGCCGCTCATTGTCAAACTTCCAGTACAACCTGCCCTTATAGAAATATGTGTAGGCTGGAAGAGAGAGGGAGGGCAATGGGTCAGGAGGGGCCCCAAGCCCCTCCCCGTCCCCCACAATGCAGCTGCAAGGCTCCTGGACTCAGTGGGGTGCCCAGCCCTGCCCTTCAAACCCCTGGACTGAACGTCCAAGCACGGCTGTCCAGGCGCCTGGAAGGTCTGCCCCCTCAGCGCTGCCTTTGCCCTTGAGAAGGGCGGGCAGGAGGAGGAGGGGGAGCAGAGGGGCAAGACAGAGAGGCCGGCAGCTGTGCCAGTCCTGGAGGCCTCCGCTGGCCGGGTTCCCCAAGGTCCAGCCAAGGCAGAAGGACCATCACCTGCCTTGGGCCAACACCTGACTGCTATTAAACCAGGTTACTGTTCTCTGGCTTACAGGTACTGGATACAGACATGACTGCAGTTCACTCACAGACCCTGGAACTGCAGAGGTCGTCAGTGGCTGAAACCAGCCCAAATGGAGGATAGTTTTAATAAAGCTGAACCTAATTTATGTAGGCAAATGCTCATTTTTTTCCAAGGACGAATCGATGCTGCATCGATAGCTTCCCATTCTGTGGTCAAGCTTCCTTTCTCCCTCAGCAGTTTCCCTCTTGCCCAGCCTCCCACTCTGGACACGCTGCTCCCCCCACCTCTGGTCCGGCCCAGGGTGGTCTTCCCATCTGCACCCATTTGCCTCACCCCCCCGCTTTCCCGGGCCGGCTTGTTCTACTCACCGGCGTCGGGGCTGAGGAAGGCACCCCTGGGGCCAGCAGGGACCCCTGCCCAGACACTGACCTTCCTGGGGTAGCCATGGCCCACGGAGCTCCCATCCTCGTCAAAGCGCCAGTACCTGCCGAGGAGAGGGCCCGCCATGAAGGGAAGAAGCCCACCTGAGGAAGAGCGGGCCCTGGGCCACCCGTGACCCACCTGTCTCCTCGGAAGAAGAACGTGTGCCCCGTGGGCTCCCACCAGACTGCAGCATCCACTCGGTCGTGAGGAAGGCCCAGTCCGTAGCTACTCAGGGGCTGTGGGTAGCCGGGCTCTAGGTTTGCCTCTCGGAAGAGCCAGTACTGACCGCCTGAAGAAAGGACAGGCATGGAGATCAGACTGACCCAAGGGAGGCCATTTGCCCACACCCCACTCAGGAACTGTGCACCAGGGAGGCGTCTGTGGGGGGACAGCCCCCCGCAGCAGCTGCAATGCAAAAGAGAACCCCAACGTCTCTGATGACAGACGGGGTGATGGCGGCGGCTGAAATGCCTCTTGGGGCCTCAGCCAAGTTCCCCTCCCACGAAGAAACCCCTCTAACATGAAGCCCCCCAGAGAGCCCAGCTTCCTTGTCCTCTGGCGCAGGGGTCTCCAACCTCGGCCTTCTCACAATACACACGTTTGAGGAACCACAGTATCATAGGAGTTGGCAGGGACTAAAAAGGTCCCCTAAAGCAGGGGTCCCCAACCTTGGCCGCTTTAAGACTGGTGGACTTCAACTCCCAGAGTTCCTCAGCCAGCTTTGTCGCCAAGGTTGGAGACCCTGGTCTTCACTCACTTCCAGCACAGGAAGCTGCGGAAATGAAGTTTGTCCTGCAGAGTAAACCACACGCATCCCAAAGAGTCAAGTCACATTGCCATGAACCTGACCAAGAACCACAAAGTGATGACAGTCACAGGACTGGCTGACTTGAGGAAGAGAAGAAGCCCAGAGGACTCCAGCCCAGGGGTCTCCAACCTTGGCCGCTTTAAGACTGGTGGACTTCAACTCCCAGCAAAGCTGGCTGAGGAACTCTGGGAGTTGAAGTCCGCCAGTCTTAAAGCGGCCAGGGCTGGAGACCCCCGGGCTGGAGGAAGAGAGGAGGGTTGCTCTGTTCCCTCTGAAGGCTCCTACTGTTTCCCCTCCAAAACCTTCCCTTCCCCAGGCCAGACATGCTCCAATCTTCTGCATCCTGGTTTCCAGGTGATGCCCTCTGGAGAGGGATCCAGGTGCAACCAGCACAGCCAACCCCAACCTCATGTTCCCTTCAGAGTCAGCTGCAACCTGACAACCTCCCACATGGCAAATCCACTTCACATCAAAAAATCTAATTTTCTTTTCTCTGATTTCCTGGAATCAAATTTCTGAGAGGTGGATAAAATATTTAACGTTTTGCTTTCACTAAAGCTGCCGTTAAAAGCATAGGCTTGGAAGGTCCTTGGAGATTTTCTACTTCAGCGGTCGCCAGCCTGTGGGCCACGGGCTACTGGTGGGCCGTGAGAAAATTTTGGTGGGCTGCAGAGAAATCTCACCCACAGAGCACCCCCTGCCCAAAGCAATTAATCCAGACTGCACGGGAACACAAGGCTGTGCTGCCCACATGGCCCGCAGGAACCCTCCCCGCCCACTCACTCCTTACCCGGTAAACTTGCCTGCTAAATTTCTATTTTTCCTTTTTCCGACCATCATCTGTTCTGCTGTGCCGGGAGATTTAGATTAGCTAGGAAGCAGGAAATGATTGGATTTCTTGCTTTCTAGCTAGTCTTTAGATCTTCGGCTCAGCACAGCCGAACCTCCCTAAGGACTGAAGTGTTGCTTGCAAACAAATTCAGTGCAGACTCACGGCAAGCAAATTTGAGAGACTGAGCTAGCCGACGGCAGATAGATAGATCACTGAAGGATTCTGTGAGCAACTCAATCTGCCTCCTTCCTTTGCCTGATTTTGGGTAAAAGTTGCTCTTTTTTTTATAAAAAATTCAATATTTATATAAATATTTATAATATTTACATACAAGCCATGCCCAGCCAGTCACATGACCACCAAGCCACGCCCACAAATCAGGCCACGCCCACAGAACCGGTTAGTGGTCCCTGGGATCTAAAATTATGAGTTTGGTGGTCCCTGAGGTTGGCGACCCCAGTTCTAGTTCAACCCGCAGATTCCCGGCTTGCTTTGCCCCAATATCCCCACCGCCTTGAGTTCACCCTGCCACCCGCACCTAAATCTAGCGGAGCCACAGGAATACGGTTTCTGTTTTCTCCTGTCCCTCCTGACCCAAAACCCGGGTCTTTTGTGCTGATAGAGACGGTTTACGTGCTCTCCCTTCCTTTTTCCCTCTGGTGCCTCTCCTTTTTGAGCCCGCTTTATCCTACAAGTGCTTGGCTTTAAGAAGAAGTCCCAGTTAGCAAAGGGAACCTGTTGCCTTGTATTAGGATCTCAGGTTCATCCCAGCTGCCTTTCTGTCCCGGAGGCTAGGACCGGCCTGCCAGTTCCCAGGCACCTCCCAGGCACCGCTACCTCCCTCTTGGCCAGGCCCTGCCAGCCCTGCCTGACTCCCCACAAAGAGGTTGGCATGGAGGGGGGTTGGACACAGCCAAGGCCACCTCCCACTTGTGTCCCTGGTTCCCTGAACGGGGCGGGGCCCTTGCACTCCCTGGCCCTGAAGCCGGAATCAGGAGAAGCGGCTTCTGCCCATTTCTCTCACCCGGTCTGGCCGGAGGTCTGCTCTCCACTCCTGCCCACGGCTGAAGCCCCTCACCTTTGAAGAAGGCAAACCGTCCGTCTTGTCTCTCGTAGGCGGCGTCGATGTTCCCAGGAAGCCCCCTCCAAAAGTACCCGATGGGCATGGGGTAGTTGTCCAGCACCCGGTTGTGCCGAACCCTCCAGAACCAGCGGCCCTGAAAAGAAGCAAGGCCAACATCCAGCCCCTGGCATGAGAGGAAGACAGCTGGGCCTCTGCTGGGCTCTCCAGAGGGCACAAAGGCCCAAGCAAAGGGGAACGTTGGGGCCCTGGGAGCAGCAAGGCCCATCCCTCTTTCGGCCTCCGGTTCAGCCCAAACACCCGTGAGGGGGCCACTTGCCCCCCCCCCCCGCCGTGCCGCCCAACCGGGGCCCCCCCCCCCCCCAAACACGCGGCCCCCCCCCCCCCCCCCCCCCCCCATCCTGGTGAGCAAAGGGCCGAAGACTCCGGAGTCATTCAAAACGCAGAGCAGGAAACCGGCTCTCTGCGAAAGGGCCACAGAAATTAGGAGCAATTGGTTCTCCTAACGTGGCAGAATTCCTTTCCAATATTTTTGCCAGGGGTGGGGAAGTAAGGGGGGGGCAGTTCTATGGTGACACCCCTCCCCTCCAAGGGACATAGGGATCCTCCTGACAGGTGGCTCTCAGCCAAGGAGGTGCCCTGGACTGGGGTGTGATGACCCGAAGGGGCGTGGCACAAAGGCAACACAGTCAGATAAGCAATAGGAGTGCCTTTATTATCTCCAACTTTGCCCCCAATGTCCTGTTCCTTTCGGCTGGAGAAAAACTCTCCCAGGAACAGTCTTTAAGTGGAGGAAATTCAGTCCGAAAACAAAGTACATGCAAACTGTAACTAAAAATCCACACAAACCACCCTGCAGCAATTAACTGGGCAGGGCAGGAGAAGGAATTGCAGACTTGAAAGGCCAGCAAAACACACACAATTGGGAAGATGCCAGGAAAAGCCTCCACGATACCAGATAATTCACAATTTGCTCCCAACAACTTTGCTGTGCGCAGCTTCCTTTTTTAAACACTGTGTTCCCAGCTGCAGCTAATGAAGGGAATCAGGGCCCTTTCCTCCCCCGTAAGCCACCCAACTCAGATTGCTCCCTTCTCTGTTCCTCCCTGCGTGCCCTAGGATGAAGAGGGGGTGGGCCTGGGTCTCTGCCTTGCTCTATCCTGCTTCCCTCTGCCTTGCTCTCCCCTGCTCTGCCCAGCCGGATTGTGCCCTTCCCCAGTTTCCTCCACAGCCAATGGAGCCACACTCCCACTCCCTGTCAGCTGCTCGGCCTCCCCCTCGGAATCAGATTCCGACAGGGGCATGACAGGGGGCCTTCCTGCAGGGAAAAGAAGGGCCCCCACGGAGCCTGACTTCATCCCAGCAGTCTTTTTCAGCTAAAGCCGTTCCGGATAATTCATTCCTAGCAGATGTGATGATGTCCGGTTCTTGATTGGCCAAGAATGGATGGACTTGAATCTCAATGTCACTGCTGAATGAAGGCCCACCGGAAGAGACGAGAGGGGGTTACAAGGTCTCCTCCTTGCAGGTACCTAAGGAAACTGGTTGGTGACTGTGGGGGACGTAAGGGATGGACCAGGCTGGGCCTCAGGCCTGACCAGCCTTCTTCAGCTGGCATCTGGGATGGTGTCATTTGGGGCCAGGAACCAGACAAGCAAATACCAGCTCCTGTGCCCACAGGATGCCCAAGCAAGCGTGCCTCTGCTCTTGGGAAAGGGCTCTGCAGGGCTGAGGGGGCAACCTGGTTGCCAAAGCCCAGGCAAGCCCTCCAGAACCATCGACCTGCACCTCGGGATCAACCGTCAGGATTCCCCACCACAGAAGCCCCCGAAACCTCCATGAGAAGCAACGCAAGAGGAGCACCTTGAAGACAAACATCTCTCCACGCAGAACGGTCACCGTGTCAAAGTCGCCATCACAGATGTTGGGCTCAAGCTGGTCAGGGGGGCCGGGCTGAGGGGGGCGGTTTGGCTTGTCTGGGGGCCTCTGGTCCGGCTTCCGGGGTCCCACAGTCGGCAGGGACTTGGTGGGCTGCTGTCCTGGCGTCCCTGAGGGGAAAAGAAAGACCGACACCCAGATCAGCGGGGGGGGGGGGGGGGCGGGCTTTCTCTAGGGTGGAGCTCACCTGCTTTTAAATGTTGGCCTCTTTATGGTTTATACCAGGGGTCTCCAACCTTGGCAACTTTAAGCCTGGAAAACTTCAACTCCCAGAATTCCCCAGCCAGCTAGGGAATTCTGGGAGTTGAAGTCCTCGAGGTTTAAAGTTGCCAAGATTGGAGACCCCTGGTTTATGCTATGCGGAGAATGGCTATCCATATCCATATATTACTTGGAGGTTAATATGGACTGGTAGTTTTTAAACTGATTTACATTTATTTATACTCCTAATTAATGAAACACTGAGAATTTTGACCTACATCTTGATGTTCTGTATATAAAACACACACACACACATATGTATGTATGTATATGTATATGTGTGTGTGTATGTATGTATGTGTTACCTGCTATGTTTTTTTTCCTTCCTTTCTCCTTTTCTTAGAAATGCTTAATAAAAAATGCAACCTAACAAACTTTGCCCTCCAAAGGCCACAGGCAGCCTGGCCACTGAATGCCTAGACCAAGCTTGCAAGGTTTCCTTTGAAAATTGCTCATGATAGGGGAAAAAACCCAGGATTTGAATGTTTTTGAAAAAGGTTTCAAAAAGGCTGAAACGAGTATTTGAGCCCTGCTACTTCGGGGGTTCTGGAGGCTTAGAAGGCCTGCCAGGAAGGCTAACGCAGCCCGGGAGCCGCAGGTTGCCCACACAGAGAAATAAACGTTTGTTTGCAACCAACTCATCCTCCTTCCATCAGGAAAACACTCCAATTATGTCCAGGGAGGAGAGCTGCCAAAGGAATAAACCTTGAGATGCCCTCGGGTTGCTCTCAAACAGACCAAATCTGAGACGGAGCACTTATCCACCCCCAAAAGCCAACATTTTCACTCTCTGACCTACGGAAGAGAATCGCTGTAGCTCAGGGTCGACCTGTGGAGTCCTTGGTGCTCTCGGAGCTTGGCGGCTGCCTTGCAGGCATTTTTACCCCTCCCCAGGCCAGGACATTTTCCAGCCTCCGCCGGTTCTCGAGATAGACTGGTAAACACCATGAAGACCACCTTGCAAAGATCACCTTGCTCACTGCCGATCAGGCGATGAGGAGGAAATAGAGTCCCTGGCAGGCAGAAACCTGGCTTCCCCCATGCAGCATCCTTAGATACCTGCCGTGCAGCTTGGAACATTTATCCTGCCTCCTACTTTTTTTAAACACCTGAAACCTACACACCCAGCCTGGTTGCCACTTACCATACAGCTGCTGGATGCCCCGAAGGTCATCGTCCGGCAACCGGAAGTTGTCCGTGTCCATCCACTGGTAGAAGGGAGCCATAATGGCAGTCGGGTTATTGGAGTGTTCCAGGCCCAGTGAATGGCCCAGCTCGTGGATGGCCACCAGGAAGAGATTGTTCCCTGTAGAAAACAGCCAAGCCTGTGGGCTCCGAAGGCTTCCCAATTCTGCACTCCACTGACCTACACCTGCCCAAGGACAGGGCTGGAAAGCCAAAGGAGGCCCTTTGCCCTTGAAGACGGACATCCAGGGTGAATCAAGATTCTGTGTTAAGAACCCCCTGGGCCAGCAGCTGGCTTCAGAGGGGGAAGAGGAGCCCGCCGGTATAGATGGAAGAGATGCTGTCAACTCATAAATTATTTCTATGGTCTTTTTAGAGCTGCCAACAGAGAGGGAGGGGGGAGCAGTGCAGCAGCTTGCAAACCGAAACTGCATTCCATAAATGTTTTCAAAGATAGTAATTAGGTGACCGAAGTTTCTGCTGTGCAGTCTAACTGGAGAGCATGATTGATGATCTGGGCTATGGATGTGTCCCATTGGAGAATATGAATTATGATACACCCAGGGGGTGGGGGGGAAAACCAGGGTCATGGGTGACAAGGAATGATGTGTCTCAGAATCGGGTCCACCCAGGCAGTGCCAGACCTTTTAACTCCCAATAAAACCTTTTTAAGTTTTGGAAGTTTGGCTCGAGACTCATGATTTAATTGGGGGGAACTGCCGGAGTCCTGACAGTTACATTGTCAAGCAAAAAAGTACATAGAAACCCAGGATGCTCGATCAGCCGCACCTTGACAGGTATTCTTCTACTAAGACTGAATAAGTGGGAATCGCTTGGAAAGTGCCATCCGGTTGAGTGGGGCTGAGGCCCACACAAGATTCCTATTCTCCTTCCTTCCTTCCTTCCTTCCTTCCTTCCTTCCTTCCTTCCTTCCTGTCACTTTCTTCTTTCCTTTCCTTTCCTTTCCTTCCATCAGCCCTTCCAGGGTAGACCAGAGTAAGAAAGCAAAGCCATCCAGGCCAGGATTATTTTACGGAAAGCCATAGAAACAGAATGTCTGCCTGGGCTTCTCCCCTTCCATCATCATGGAAAGTAGGGAGGGGGCTGTCCCCGCTGCCTGGGCAGTGGCTTCTGCTGTCCTTCAAGGCCCTTCTAACCTTCTCCTACGCTGGGACAACTTCCTTACCCAACACGTCCCTCTTGTCCAGCGTCCAGGGCTCATCCAGGTCAAAATGAGCATCTCCTCCCATTCCAGGACCGGGAAAGTAGGCGTGGGCCAGAAAGCCCCCCGTGCCGTCAAAGGGGGAACTGTCCCCATGGAACCCCGAGGCAAAGAGCACCATGATGTCGGCCTCCGCTCTCCCCTTCTGTCTGATGTCACTGTAGGGGATCTCCTGGAAGGCCAGCGGGGTGACTTGGTCCCAGACACGGATAGCCTGGCGAATGGCCTCGTAGGACTGGAAGAGCCCCAGCTTCTCCGTATAGTTCTGGATGCTGCCAAAGAGAGAGCGGGGGGGGGGGGGGGGGGGG